GCTAAGTGAAACCAACACCCCCCAGGGGTTCTCAGGCACCCCAGAAGTCCTCACCTCTACATTTCTTTCCAGCCACCTTGTTTCTCGCCCCACCTTTGCAGTGCCTCACAAATCTTCCCTGCAGTGGTACGAAATCCCACAGGGAAGGAAAGGGGACTGGGGTTATGCGAAAGGCTTGGGCTCTGGAGGCCTAGTACCTCCCCAGGCCCTACCATGCTCCCCTCCCCCGCCAAATACACCCCACAAGATGTGACAACTATGAGTAACTCATTCACTGGCTTCCCATGAGGAGTCCAGAATGGCTGAACGCGTTTTCTTCCCCATACGCTTGGGTTTCTATGAAACAGATGGAAACCGATGCCGGGCGGGTGTCCGAGCCAGGAGCACGTCTCTGCCTCACGCTCTTCCTCCCCTGCTCGCCTTTCCCTCCCATCACTTTACCCAGAAGAGGTCTAAGCTGGTTTGGTCTTGGCTTCCCGTCGGTGAGGTGGCGAGGTGGAAGATCAGCCCTTTACGGGGTGCGGTACCGGAGCTGGGCCCCAAGCTGCATCTCTCACCCTTCCCGGCTAGATCTGAACAGGGCAGCCGGTGAAGGGGCCGACGGTGGTGGCGGCGGCAGCTACTGGCCACAGCGGCCGCTCCGGGGGTCTCGCCCGGCTCCCCGACGCGCCCGCCGGCCCTGACCTCACAATGGCCCGCGGGGGCGGGGAGGGGGCGGCCGCGCTCGGCCAGGCCGGGGGAGCTGGCGGGAGGAAGGGGAGCCCAGGATGAGGGAAGGCCGGCTCTGCCCGGAGGCCCGGCCCCGCCTGGCCCGCGTCGGATCCGGGGGCGGGAGCAGCGCCGGATCCCGCGCGGCCAGAGCGGGACGGGGCGCCGGGACCGGGGTCCGCGCCGATGGGGTGGGCCGTGCCGCCCCCGCGGAGGGAGGAGGCCTGTGCAGCCGCCGCGCCGCGCTCACCTGTGCCGCCCGCGCCATCGCGAGCCCCGCCGCCGGCGCCGCGCGACTTCCGATGGCCCCGGCCCCGGCAGCCCCGCCCCGGGCCGAACGGCCCCCGCCCTGGGAAAGATGTCCTACGGCGTCCGCGCCGCACCGCGACCTGCGTCCAGCCCGCCGCTCGCCGCT